GGCAGGCAGGACAGTGTGAAGGAGAGAGAGGAGGGGCAGGCAGGCCAGTGTGAAGGAGAAAGAGGAGGGGCAGGCAGGACAGTGTGAAGGAGAGAGAGGAGGGGCAGGCAGGACAGTGTGAAGGAGAGAGAGGAGGGGCAGGACTTTCCCCAGTCCTTTATAGCCTATTGTGTAGTTACGCTATAACATGGAAAATAATGTTCTGTGGTAACTGCACTGGGATTTTAATTATTTTTGGGGAAAAAAACAGTTAAGGATTTATCTTAACGTTAAGGATCCCAACTTTGTTAAAACCTTCACACCCATAACACACACCGTAGGCGTTTACAACTAATATTACAGACCCACACAAATGAGCCCTGGGAGGACAGCCACCAGGTAAACTACCAGTGTGTGTGTAAGTGAGGAGGCGTCAGTGTGATGCAGGTGGACATGCTCTGCCACACCTATACAAGGAAAACATATGCACACCCATCTTCCCTTCATCCTTCCTTTCCTTCACTCCTCCTCCGTCTCTATCTGTCTGTAATATTCTCTATCAGCCACTCTCCCTCCTCCTCCGTCTCTATCTGTCTGTAATATTCTCTATCAGCCACTCTCCCTCCTCCCTCCCTCTCTATCTGCCTGTAATATTCTCTATCAGCCACTCTCCCTCCTCCTCCGTCTCTATCTGCCTGTAATATTCTCTATCAGCCACTCTCCCTCCTCCCTCCCTCTCTATCTGCCTGTAATATTCTCTATCAGCCACTCTCCCTCCTCCTCCGTCTCTATCTGTCTGTAATATTCTCTATCAGCAGTCCTCCCCCTCCTCTCTAGTACGAGATACCAGAGAAACTCGTCATAACAACTGTGTTATCAGATTCTACAATAGTTACACTACCTGGCTTCATACCAGTTACGTTGTGTTCTCACACCACTGCTGTCATGTCATTGGTTTCTGTAGGCCACACATTGATGCTTGGTCTTCTGTTACCTTGATATTTATTCAAAGGAGGTGTGGATATGGATTTTTACTTAGTGTACCCCTCTCTCACGCTCCTTCTCTGTCTGAGCAGACGCTCTCATCCATACTTTTTCCTACTGGCCCCCCATGGGAATCGAACCTACAACACTGGCTTTACAAGCGCCATGCTCTACCAACTGAGCCACACAGGACCTCTCTGTCTTTTCCCTCTCTCTCTCTCTCTCTCTCCATCTCCCCCTCTCTCTTTCTCCATCTCCCCCCTCTCTCTCTCCATCTCCCCCCTCTCTCTCTCTCTCCATCTCCCCTGTCTTTTTCTCTCTCCATCTACCCCTCTCTCTCTATCTCCCCCCTCTCGCTCGCTCACTCTCTCTCTCACACACACTCTCACCAGCCTGGTGCTAAGGTGAACCAGTAGTTCCTATCTGAGTTGGTGCGTCCCATGTCCGCACCAAAAAGTTCTGCTCGGGAAACTACCCCTCGTCGCTAAGCAACGAGACGGACCGGATGGTGCGCTGGTGCACATGAGGTGAGGGACAGACGCCCACACCACATTCTCACCTGGTAAAGACCCAACATGTGAGTTGGGGGGAGAGGGAGAGGGAGGGAGAGAGGGAGAGAGAGAGAGAGAGAGGGAGGGAGGGAGGGAGGGAGGGAGGGAGGGAGGGAGAGGGAGAGGGAGAGGGAGAGGGAGAGGGAGAGAGGGAGAGAGGGAGAGAGGGAGGGAGGGAGGGAGGGAGGGAGGGAGAGAGAGAGAGAGAGAGAGACTAAAACAATACAGAAATACACTACGGAAAAAAAGAAGGAACAGCATGTCAGAAATCAGCTCAATGTAATTGAAGAATCCATAGACTCTAACCACTTCTGGGAAAATTGGAAAACACTAAACAAACAACAACACGAAGAGCTATCTATCCAAAACGGAGATGTATGGGTAAACCACTTCTCCAACCTTTTTGGCCCTATAACAGAGAACAAACAGCAAAAAAATATACATGATCAAATGCAAATCTTAGAATCAACTATTAAAGACTACCAGAACCCACTGGATTCTCCAATTACATTGAATGAACTACAGGACAAAATACAAACCCTCCAACCCAAAAAGTCCTGTGGTGTTGATGGTATCCTCAATGAAATGATAAAATATACAGACCACAAATTTCAATTAGCTATACTTAAACTCTTTAACATCATCCTTAGCTCTGGCATCTTCCCCAATATTTGGAACCAAGGACTGATCACCCCAATCCACAAAAGTGGAGACAAATTTGACCCCAATAACTACCGTGGGATATGCGTCAACAGCAACCTTGGGAAAATCCTCTGCATTATCATTAACAGCAGACTAGTTCATTTCCTCAGTGAAAACAATGTACTGAGCAAATGTCAAATTGGCTTTTTACCAAATTACCGTACGACAGACCACGTATTCACCCTGCACACCCTAATTGACAAACAAACAAACCAAAACAAAGGCAAAGTCTTCTCATGCTTTGTTGATTTCAAAAAGCTTTTGACTCAATTTGGCATGAGGGTCTGCTATACAAATTGATGGAAAGTGGGGTTGGGGGAAAAAACATACGACATTATAAAATCCATGTACACAAGCAACAAGTGTGCGGTTAAAATTGGCAAAAAAACACACACATTTCTTTCCACAGGGCCGTGGGGTGAGACAGGGATGGAGTTTAAGCCCCACCCTCTTCAACATATATATCAACGAATTGGCGAGGGCACTAGAACAGTCTGCAGCACCCGGCCTCACCCTACTAGAATCTGAAGTCAAATGTCTTCTGTTTGCTGATGATCTGGTGCTTCTGTCACCAACCAAGGAGGGCCTACAGCAGCACCTAGATCTTCTGCACAGATTCTGTCAGACCTGGGCCCTGACAGTAAATCTCAGTAAGACAAAAATAATGGTGTTCCAAAAAAGGTCCAGTTGCCAGGACCACAAATACAAATTCCATCTAGACACCGTTGCCCTAGAGCACACAAAAAACTATACATACCTCGGCCTAAACATCAGCGCCACAGGTAACTTCCACAAAGCTGTGAACGATCTGAGAGACAAGGCAAGAAGGGCCTTCTATGCCATCAAAAGGAACATAAAATTTGACATACCAATTAGGATCTGGCTAAAAATACTTGAATCAGTTATAGAACCCATTGCCCTTTATGGTTCTGAGGTCTGGGGTCCGCTCACCAACCAAGAATTCACAAAATGGGACAAACACCAAATTGAGACTCTGCATGCAGAATTCTGCAAAAACATCCTCCGTGTACAACGTAAAACACCAAATAATGCATGCAGAGCAGAATTAGGCCAATACCCGCTAATTATCAAAATCCAGAAAAGAGCCGTTAAATTCTATAACCACTTAAAAGGAAGCGATTCCCAAACCTTCCATAACAAAGCCATCACCTACAGAGAGATGAACCTGGAGAAGAGTCCCCTAAGTAAGCTTGTCCTGGGGCTCTGTTCACAAACACAAACAGACCCCACACAGCGCCAGGACAACAACACAATTAGACCCAACCAAATCATGAGAAAACAAAAAGGTAATTACTTGACACATTGGAAAGAACAAACAAATAAACAGAGCAAACTAGAATGCTATTTGGCCCTAAACAGAGAGTACACAGTGGCAGAATACCTGACCACTGTGACTGACCCAAACTTAAGGAAAGCTTTGACTATGTACAGACTCAGTGAGCATAGCCTTGCTATTGAGAAAGGCCGCCGTAGGCAGACCTGGCTCTCAAGAGAAGACAGGCTATGTGCACACTGCCCACAAAATGGGGTGGAAACTGAGCTGCACTTCCTAACCTCCTGCCAAATGTATGACCATATTAGAGACACATATTTCCCTCAGATTACAGCGATCCACAAAGAATTCGAAAACAAACCCAATTTTGATAAACTCCCTTATCTACTGGGTGAAAAACCACAGTGTGCCATCACAGCTGCAAGATTTGTGACCTGTTGCCACAAGAAAAGGGCAACCAGTGAAGAACAAACACCATTGTAAATACAACCCATATTTATGTTTATTTATTTTCCCATTTGTACTTTAACTATTTGCACATTGTTACAACACTGTATATATACATAATATGACATTTGAAATGTCTTTATTCTTTTGAAACTTCTGAGTGTAATGTTTACTGTTAATATTTATTGTTTATTTCACTTTTGTTTACTATCTACTTCACTTGCTTTGGCAATGTTAACACACGTTTCCCATGCCAATAAAAGCCCTTAAATTGAAATTGAAATTGAAATTGAATTGAGAGAGAGAGTCCAGCTGTTCCATAATTGCATGGAATCACCCAGATGAAAGATAATTCAATCTCCTTCTGCATCTCCATGGCACCTCAGAGGATAAATACATAATCAACAGCTCCACCTAGTGGATCTTAAGCGTACTGCAGGACCATGGCACCTCATAGGATAAATACATAATCAACAGTTCCACCTAGTGGATCTTAAGCGTACTGCAGGACCATGGCACCTATTCACAAAGACTCTCAGAGTAGGAGTGCTGATCTAGGATCAGTTTAGCCTTTTACTTCTCCTGTGTTTACATTGGGATTGGGATTGGGGCAGGAGCGAGCACCTCACCCGTACGCCTGAAGCCGTATCCCCAGCCCCCCGGAGCCCGCAGGCCGCCCACCAGAAGGAGCACCCGAATGGCAGACCACCAGGAGCAGAAGGCCGCACACAGGAGAACGACAGGAAGCACAACGGGCGAAGGAGAAAAAAGGAAACAAGACAGAGCAGCACACCAGGAGGAGACAAGACGGACAAATGGAGGGGAGAAAAAAGAGAAAACGGACGAACAAAAGGCAGGAAGAGGAGCCAGCAGCGAGCAGACACCCGTCGACCGACCGCACAACACACCCCCTCCCTCCCGCCCTCCTCCCTCCTCTCCCTCCCTCCCTCCCTCCTCTCCCCCCTCCCTCCTCCCTCCTCCCTCCCCCCTCCTTCCCCGTCCCCCCATCCCTCTAGGTTTTCAGGAGGAGGACTACCTGAAGGATGCTGTGGAGTGTGGTGATCTGGCAGAGAGGCCTGCTGAGGAAAGGTTACAGTATCTGTCACGGCACGGCGGGCAACGCCTACTCCTTCCTCAGCCTCTACCAGGTCACCCAGGAGAAGAAGTACCTCTACCGCGCATGCAAGGTAGCGCAACGAGTGTGTTTGTGTGTGTGTGTGTGGTGCGACTGTGTGTGTAGAATTGCATCTCTTCCTTTGTGCCACTACCCCTCTTCAATATATGCATAAGTCTCCTTTTCCTTGCTATTGTCATGGAAACAAATGTGTGTGTGTGTGTGAGTGTGTGTGTGTGTGTGTGTGTGTGTGTGTGTGTGTGTGTGTGTGTGAGAGAGAGATGCAGGGTTCTGGAGCTCCTAGTTGCTGCAGCAGTAGTGTCCTCCTTCAGATCGATTCATCTGTGTGAATAATGGGGGAAGGAAGGACACACCCACACATACGCTACAGTACACCAGTACACTACACTACACTACACTACACTACACTACACTACACTACACTACACTACACTACACTACACTACACTACAGTGCACTACACTACACTACACTACACTACACTACACTACAGTGCACTACACTACACTACACTACACTACACTACACTACACTACATTACACTACACTACACTACACTACACTACATTGCACTACACTACACTACACTACATTACACTACACTACACTACACTACACTACACTACACTACACTACACTACATTGCACTACACTACACTACACTACACTACACTACACTACACTACAGTGCACTACACTACACTACACTACATTACACTACACTACACTACACTACACTACACTACACTACACTACACTACACTACACTACAGTGCACTACACTACACTACACTACACTACACTACACTACATTACACTACACTACAGTGCACTACACTACACTACACTACACTACACTACACTACAGTGCACTACACTACACTACATTACACTACACTACACTACACTACACTACACTACACTACAGTGCACTACACTACACTGCACTACACTACACTACACTACACTACAGTACAGTACAGTACACCCTATGTGTTCTGGGCCTCATATCTCCAGTGCTCTGTGTTTAACCCTGTGTGGGCTGAGGGGTGTCTGGACTACGGAACCCACGGCTGCAGAATTCCGGACAGACCGTACTCTCTGTTTGAAGGTAAAACTTAATTCCAACACAGACAAACATTTTTCCTATTTTCTTCTTTCCATGTAATCAATGTAATAACCACTCTTTCATTTCCGAGAAACCACACACTGAATTTCCTTTAAATATGTCTGGCAGCTCTTGGACAAGGTCCAATTATGAAAAGGTCCCCGCCGACGCTCCACACAATTCCGTCCCTCTGAAATGACAGTCTCGTTCAATGGTTATAATGGCAAAATCAAAGCAGCGTTAACAACTAAATAAGCGGGACTCTGTGGATCTTTGAGTGGTATGCTTGTTTAGCAGTGCTAACGATAGGTTATCTTTGAGTGGGAGAGAGAGAGCGAGGGAGAGAGGACGGAGGTGCAATGTGGGAGAGAGAGAGCAAGAGAAAGAGGATGGAGGTGCAGTGAGAATGGAGAGAACGTATCAGAGGGCTGTAGAAGCGCATTAATAAAGAGAATTAATGACTGTGACTCATCCGTCGTTCAGTGTAGAAAAAGAGGGAGGGAGAGGAGCCTGTCTCTCTGGTAAAAGACAGCGGGAGAAGAGAGGAGATTGTCTCTCTGGTAAAAGACAGCGGGAGAAGAGAGGAGCCTGTCTCTCTGGTAAAAGAGAGAGGAGAGGAGAGGAGATTGTCTCTCTGGTAAAAGACAGCGGGAGAAGAGAGGAGATTGTCTCTCTGGTAAAAGACAGCGGGAGAAGAGAGGAGATTGTCTCTCTGGTAAAAGACAGCGGGAGAAGAGAGGAGATTGTCTCTCTGGTAAAAGACAGCGGGAGAAGAGAGGAGCCTGTCTCTCTGGTAAAAGAGAGAGGAGAGGAGAGGAGATTGTCTCTCTGGTAAAAGAGAGAGGAGAGGAGAGGAGATTGTCTCTCTGGTAAAAGACAGCGGGAGAAGAGAGGAGATTGTCTCTCTGGTAAAAGAGAGAGGAGAGGAGAGGAGATTGTCTCTCTGGTAAAAGACAGCGGGAGAAGAGAGGAGATTGTCTCTCTGGTAAAAGACAGCGGGAGAAGAGAGGAGATTGTCTCTCTGGTAAAAGAGAGAGGAGAGGAGAGGAGATTGTCTCTCTGGTAAAAGAGAGAGGAGAAGAGAGGAGATTGTCTCTCTGGTAAAAGACAGCGGGAGAAGAGAGGAGCCTGTCTCTCTGGTAAAAGACAGCGGGAGAAGAGAGGAGCCTGTCTCTCTGGTAAAAGACAGCGGGAGAAGAGAGGAGATTGTCTCTCTGGTAAAAGACAGCGGGAGAAGAGAGGAGATTGTCTCTCTGGTAAAAGACAGCGGGAGAAGAGAGGAGCCTGTCTCTCTGGTAAAAGACAGCGGGAGAAGAGAGGAGATTGTCTCTCTGGTAAAAGACAGCGGGAGAAGAGAGGAGATTGACTCTCTGGTAAAAGAGAAAGGAGAGGAGACTGTCTGGTCCTCCGTGTACAATGAAAAACACAAAATAATGCATGCAGAGCAGAATTATGCCAATACCCGCTAATTATCAAAATCCAGAAAATTGCTGTTAAATTCTATAACCACTTAAAGGAAGCGATTCCCAAACCTTCCATAACAAAGCCATCACCTACAGAGAGATGAACCTGGAGAAGAGTCCCCTAAGTAAGCTGGTCCTGGGGCTCTGTTCACAAACACAAACAGACCCCACAGATCCCCAGGACAACAACAACAACACAATTAGACCCAACCAAATCATGAGAAAACAAAAAGAGAATTACTTGACACATTGGAAAGAATTAACAAAAAAACAGAGCAAACTATCTATTTGGCTCTAAACAGAGAGTACAGTATACCTGACCACTGTGACTGACCCAAACTTAAGGAAAGCTTTGACTATGTACAGACTCAGTGAGTATAGCCTTGCTATTGAGAAAGGCCGCCGTAGGCAGACCTGGCTCTCAAGAGAAGACAGGCTATGTGCACACTGCCCACAAAATGGGGTGGAAACTGAGCTGCACTTCCTAACCTCCTGCCAAATGTATGACCATATTAGACATTTTACATTTTAGTCATTTAGCGACTTACAGTTAGTGAGTGCATACATTTTCATACTGCCCCCCCCCCTCCTCTACCAACTGAGCATGGCGTTTGAGACACATCTTTCCCTCAGATTACAGAGATCCACAAAGAATTCGAAAACAAACCCAATTTTGATAAACTCCCTTATCTACTGGGTGAAAAACCACAGTGTGCCATCACAGCAGCAAGATGTGTGACCTGTTGCCACAAGAAAAGGGCAACCAGTGAAGAACAAACACCATTGTAAATACAACCCAAATTTATGTTTATTTATTTTCCCTTTTGTACTTTAACTATTTGAACATTGTTACAACACTGTATATAAACATAATATGACATTTGAAATGTCTTTATTCTTTTGGAACTTCTGAGTGTAATGTTTACTGTTAATATTTATTGTTTATTTCACTTTTGTTTACACTCTACTTCACTTGCTTTGGCAACGTTAACATACGTTTCCCAGGCCAATAAAGCCCTTAAATTGAATTGAATTGAAATTGATAGAGACTGTCTCTCTGGTAAAAGAGGGAGGGAGAGGAGAGGAGACTGCCTCTCTGATGAGAGGAGAGGAGACTCTCTGGTAAAAGAGAGAGGAGAGGAGTCGCTGTCTCTGGTAAAAGAGAGAGGAGAGGAGTCTGTCTCTCTGGTAAAAGAGAGGAGAGGAGTCTGTCTCTCTGGTAAAAGAGAGGAGAGGAGTCTGTCGCTCTGGTAAAAGAGAGGAGAGGAGTCTGTCTCTCTGGTAAAAGAGAGGAGAGGAGTCTGTCTCTCTGGTAAAAGAGAGGAGAGGAGTCTGTCGCTCTGGTAAAAGAGAGGAGAGGAGTCTGTCTCTCTGGTAAAAGAGAGGAGAGGAGTCTGTCTCTCTGGTAAAAGAGAGGAGAGGAGTCTGTCTCTCTGGTAAAAGAGAGGAGAGGATATGTCTCTCTGGTAAAAGAGAGGAGAGGAGTCTGTCTCTGGTAAAAGAGAGGAGAGGATATGTCTCTCTGGTAAAAGAGAGGAGAGGAGTCTGTCTCTCTGGTAAAAGAGAGGAGAGGAGTCTGTCTCTCTGGTAAAAGAGAGAGGAGAGGAGTTTGTCTCTCTGGTAAAAGAGAGGAGAGGAGTCTGTCTCTCTGGTAAAAGAGAGGAGAGGAGTCTGTCTCTCTGGTAAAAGAGAGGAGAGGAGTCTGTCTCTCTGGTAAAAGAGAGAGGAGAGGAGTCTGTCTCTCTGGTAAAAGAGAGGAGAGGAGTCTGTCTCTCTGGTAAAAGAGAGGAGAGGAGTCTGTCTCTCTGGTAAAAGAGAGAGGAGAGGAGTCTGTCTCTCTGGTAAAAGAGAGGAGAGGAGTCTGTCTCTGGTAAAAGAGAGGAGAGGAGTTTGTCTCTCTGGTAAAAGAGAGGAGAGGAGTCTGTCTCTATGGTAAAAGAGAGAGGAGAGGAGTTTGTCTCTCTGGTAAAAGAGAGCGGGAGAGGAGACTGTCTCTCTGGTAAAAGAGAGGAGAGGATCTGTCTCTGGTAAAAGAGAGGAGAGGAGTCTGTCTCTCTGGTAAAAGAGAGGAGAGGATCTGTCTCTGGTAAAAGAGAGAGGAGAGGAGACTGTCTCTCTGGTAAAAGAGAGGAGAGGAGTCTGTCTCTCTGGTAAAAGAGAGGAGAGGAGTCTGTCTCTGGTAAAAGAGAGGAGAGGAGTTTGTCTCTCTGGTAAAAGAGAGGAGATGAATCTGTCTCTCTGGTAAAAGAGAGAGGAGAGGAGTCTGTCTCTGGTAAAAGAGAGGAGAGGAGTTTGTCTCTCTGGTAAAAGAGAGGAGATGAATCTGTCTCTCTGGTAAAAGAGAGAGGAGAGGAGTCTGTCTCTCTGGTAAAAGAGTGCGGGAGAGGGGTCTGTCTCTCTGGTAAAAGAATGCGGGAGAGGGGTCTGTCTCTGGTAAAAGAGAGAGGAGAGGAGTCTGTCTCTGGTAAAAGAGAGAGGAGAGGAGACTGTCTCTCTGGTAAAAGATGGAGGTAGAGGAGAGGAGACTCTCTGGTAAAAGAGAGAGGAGAGGAGTCTGTCTCTCTGGTAAAAGAGAGGAGAGGAGTCTGTCTCTGGTAAAAGAGAGAGGAGAGGAGACTGTCTCTCTGGTAAAAGATGGAGGTAGAGGAGAGGAGACTCTCTGGTAAAAGAGAGAGGAGAGGAGACTGTCTCTCTGGTGAGAGGAGACTGTCTCTCTGGTAAAAGAGAGAGGAGAGGAGACTCTGGTAGAGGAGAGGAGAGGAGCCTGTCTCTCTGGTGAGAGGAGACTGTATCTCTGGTAAAAGAGAGAGGAGAGGAGACTGTCTCTCTGGTAAAAGATGGAGGTAGAGGAGAGGAGCCTCTCTGTCTCTCTGGGGTAATGAGATTTGAGGAGGCCTACTCTCCTATTGTAATTGAACTAAGAGATCTGCTGAGACATCTGATATGTTCTTATTTGGGAGAACTCCTAACAGAACTTCAACATGTTCAAATCAAGAATTGGAATGATCTAAAACTAGTGCATATATGGGCTATTTTCTTCTAGATGTTCAAAGCACTTTACATTGTCTGGTGGGAAACTCTCCTCATTATCTACCAATGTGTAACAACTACCTCTGTCGTTGATAGAAGCAGAGAAGTATAGGTTAACTTGTTGTGGAAATCTCCCAATACAGTGGTCACCAACCCTGGTGCTGGAGAGCTGTGCAGGTTTTTGTTCCAGCCCACCACTAACACACTATATATTTTTAATTTGTTAATTAGCTGATTTAGGTGTGTTAGTGCTGGGCTGGAACAAAAGCCTGATGATGACCACTGTTGTTAGACATCTCTAAGTTTGTTTTAATGTTGAGAGGCTGTTACTCTTCCACTTCATCTCTCTGCCTCACTATGACTGGGTGATAATTGTGTTAATATTTTAATAATTATTTTTCTATAATTATAATCTGATAACTTTTGCGTGAAGTGGGTGTAAAGAAAACTTTGATTAGTTTGTTATCAGCAGGCCAGGCAAGGCTGAGTTTACAAATTATTACTGCAGTCAGGTACAGCAG